TTGTTGTTGTTGTTGTTGTTTTTTCACAATTGCTATTAACATTCTCTTTTACTGTAAATCCCGGCTTTCGTTTTTCCATAACTAGACTTGGCCGCCGGCATCTCTTACATTACCACCAATCCGATGACATTATTTCATGACCTGACTGTGTGGCAAACTGTAACATGAAATGCAATACAAGAAAGCTGCAAAGAGTGAGAATGATCAAAATTTCAGAAGACTGAAACGGAATTCGAAAAGAATGACTTGATTTGCGCAAGTGACGCGTCAAAAACAGAGATGGAGCAAAAAAATCGCGGGAGGGGGGTGGGGGAACTTATAAAACGCCGGGAGTATCCCTTGATTACCGACTATACCTTTAGTCATATATGGATAACAGGCTTGCACCATGTTGGAATAGCCAATCACATTTATTCCCAAAACTCTATCCCAGTCCTCTTTTGTAGAATCCAGACCTGTGAAGAGAATACCATAACAAATTGGTTAGAACTGTCAGAACTAGTGTTCGGAACATGAATAAGTCTGCGAATATATCCCAATCGATATGTTAGCTAAGTGATATGTGTTAACTAATATGCTAAAGTTTTATTAATTATATTACATCACCCATTACAGCCAACCGTAGAATAGGATGGAATTTTTGTACAGCGGCCACTCCCACTTTCTTTTGCTGACCCGCCCACATTCCTTCGTGTTGTGGTGAGTTGACTGTTAGCAAATTAGAATGTGAACAGGCTCCGGTTGGAAGGGTCTGACCGCAGCTGGAAGGGCCAAGAAGGAACTGACTGAGAGTGAAGCGGCCGAGGGGGGATGACCTCTTTCCCCTTCTCTCCCTTCTCTCCTCATTCTTCCCGCACTCCCTTCCAGTTCGCCCCATCCTCGACTAAAGAGCCTGTTCAGAGGCTATCAGCGAATTGAAGCAATGGGTCGAGATACGAATAGACCTTATCACGGTTTTCGACGCCATCTTGACGGGTAGGCAAAGCGGTCGGAAATTACAATAGAGGTAAAGAAACTTGACCTTGCCTCACTTCGCTTACAGTCAACTCACGGGTAGTCTCGTCTCACTACAAAAGAAAGTGGGAGTGGACGCTGTACAGAAATTCGAGCCGTTGATTCTAGCCTGAAATGTCAGTCATCTCCCGCCCTCATCGAGATTTCTCCTCTCGCCCGGAGATAAGGCTGATAGCGGGAGATCCTGACATTTCAGCCTAGTGATTTCGTTAGTGTTGACATCATTGCGTGACCTAACGTGACGTTTTGATACATTCTTGAAAACACTTCCCGGCTGCCTGGTATCTAGACACAAAATACGTGGCACAATTGCACTGAGGAAAAATGAAATAATTGACTATTGTTGAAAATGGGCCAGTTTAGTTATGCAAATCTTCAGTAACAAGGCAACTTTTTATCAATGAAAAAGTTTCTTCAGTCGACTGACGACTGGGTTGCTGCTTTCTATCCCAAACTTACCCTTACGAGGCGCGCCAATGCCTGCGTTGTTCACCAGAAAATGAATTTTTCCTTCATGTTCTTCAGCAACTTTCTTCACTCCTTCTACGCACTGCTCTTTATCTGCTACATCCACTTTATAAAACTTGACATCGTATCCAGCGGCCGTAAGTTCACGCTGTAGATGTTCACCAGCAGGTTCGTTGATATCAAACGCGGCTACTGAAGCTCCATCGTTGACAAATCGGTTCACAGTGGCTCTCCCGATCCCCGAAGCTCCACCAGTTATGATACACACCTTATTAGCAAATCGACCTTTTGTGTGCTGCGAGTCAAGCGGAGGGTTTGATTGCGCCATCTCTGACTGAGTGCACTACAACTTTGGTTTGTGTAACGCGAGTGACACTCCTAATATGGCGTAACGCGTGACTTGAAGTGCGAGCTTTCCATTCGACCTAAATTCCGGTGTGAATTTCTGGAAATTTTCCGGTTGACTGCACCAGAGTGGAAACGATAAGCCGCACTTTTGTTCGCTTCGAATTTTTCGATGGCTTCAAGGTTTAAATCGCAAATATAGAAGCAAACAGAACACTGATAAGTCGACATTGTGACTTTTTTTGACCACGACATACAAATAACAACGGCAGCGAAAACGTCGCAAAACAAAGGGTTTAAAGTAGTACAATGGCTTTGCACGCGTTATAAATCTTTGCACATTTCGTAGCCAGTCTATGCATATTTTTTCATTGGAATTAAACTCTTTCTTGACGAATTCAGCTGTGGCTATTATTTATCGACATACAAGTGGCAAGATTCTAAAGCTGAAATATTGATCTATTTTTGAATACTCGTCGCCGTCAGTCCTTGGGTGAGATGTTCCAACTCGCTAGGATCGCGGCCAAAAGACCTAGCGCTGAAAGGAAAATTGCAAATTTACATAATTTCAGAAAAAGAGGACAACCTCCTGAGGTACACCCAAATTTTCGAAAACATTTCATCCCGGAATATCCGGAATTTTGGGTTGAATGGTTCGCTTTTCGGAAATTCAACAAATTCCAGATTTTCTGCAACTTTTCCCAGGAAATGTCCGTACCATTCAATCCCGTTTCGAAAATTTCGGAATTTTTGGTCGAATGGAAAGCGCCCTGTAGTCTTATCTATGTCGCGCATCGCAGAGCAGAAACGCAGAAGAGCTCACCCCGGCGCGGTCCTCCACATGGAATATAGTGTGTGAACAAGCTTCTCCACTTGAGAATTAGACTGGGGAGAGGGAAAGAGGAAAACGACCCCATATCGCCATAAGACCTGAGCTGGAGCTATAGAGGTATCCGTGGATAGCCTTGCATACGGCTGGCGCGACTAAATTGAATTGACCAATCAGGATTCAGCAGGCGAGAAAAACTAACAGGAAAGGCATTGAAATCGGGCAACTTTTCTCGCTGGAGATGGCTTTAAATATTCACGAAAAGTGTCACTGACTCCAGGCGCGATTACCGCAAGTTCAGAATTAAAGAATTAAGGACGTCGAAGCCCTGATCAAGAGCACTGGACCTCAAGTTGCTTTCCACTAATTGATCTTATTTTAAATTTTATTGCGGCACAGTTTACAAGCACGGGTGACTTTGTTGGCCATCGGCACGACTTACGAACGACCTTTACATGAGAACAGCCAGATCGTAGGCCAGTACGTCATCATTAGAAACAAATAATTAACGTGTAGCCACTCATAGTTCAATCCGGGAGTGGGGGACTTCCATGTGCGAGGGGATGCTAGTTGGAAAATTTGAATTTAAAGGAGCCCATCTGGTATGGCTACAGTTTTATTTGGTTCCTAAAAGGTACGACTTTAAGAAACACATGACAACGCTTTTTATTACTTTTTCGAGTGAAATCAAAAAGATATCTTGACGGCTTAAAATAGTGGCGTTTGACCATGGAGCCTAAGTGAGATTGAAATCCGTGATTTCCACCCCTAAGCGAGTCGACAAGCATCCCCACCTTTTCACATGGGAGTCTCCCCCGCCCCAAGAATTTAAATCTTGTTTCTAATCCACCAAAGACCTGTACACCCCTAATCTCTTATTTTTCAGTCCGTTTCGAAGGATTCCCGCGGCCATTTAGTTTTACGTGAATTCGACGGCTACTCTCCAAGTCCTTCAGGGCCTAGAGCTAAATATCCTCCATCGACCGCCAAATCTGCACCAGTTATAGCTGAAGCATCTTTGCTGCACAGGAAGGCAATGGTTGCTGCTACCTCTGCAGGCTCACAGAACCGCCGGTTCATCTGTAGCTTGGCAACGGTTGGCTCAATGTTCTTCCTCTCACCCACAATTGATTCTGCCTGCAAAGACATTTTTCAAGATTATTATAATGCAGATCAGAAATTAAACATCTCAAATACTGGAAAGTTAGGCTATGCTACTCATAGTTAAGTAATATATCAAACACGAAGACAGTGTTTGACCACATTTCCACACCGCGGACAGAGTTGAAAATACTTCGCG